CATTTTGGTAGTGCCTTAGTCTCTCCCGTGACCATGATTGCTGTAAAGAATTCGAAACGCAGAGAACCAAAAATCTAAATAAATCCGCGAAAAAATCCAAAAAGATAGTATTTATATACAAAATACATAAAAGTGAACATTAATGTTAAGTGAGTGAGTGTGTTTGTTACTTATGAGCGCTGTAAGAGTTTAATGGAATTGAGTGAAATTCTGATGAATAGAGATTGCTTTTACGCAAGAGCGTGAAATAAAAATATAAAATTTCTTTATTACTTTATATGCAAGCAAGCGAAGTCGCGAGCAAAACCTAAGAAATACTAATAAAAAAAATAAGCACAGTAACTAAGTTGATTTTGGAGAAACGAACTCACTCTTATGGCTTACCTATACATTGACTAAAACGAGCACCTTGTTTTTTTTCCTTTATAATAATAGTTCATCAAAATTGGCATTTATGTGATATGAGAATCCATTGCAAGAAAAAGCATTTGCTTTTAAAATTTTGTTTTAAAATTTTTAAAGGTCCACATGACTTATATATTCCATACAATCTGATTTTTATAAAAACATTTTTAAATTATTTCAAACACTAATCTATTCCTTTTTTATTTCAATTACACAACATATTATTAGGGTAAAATTATTTCCTGGGTGTTAAAACATATTATTTTTTTATTTTATTCATTGAAAACGTTTCGTACATTAAAGACACAAAACTAAATTAGAAATATAAATAAGAAATTATATATATTAAAAAAAAAACATAAATAATAACAAGATATGTGTATACTTAAATTGCCACTATATATACACATGCTATCGAAGGTTCGGTTTCACAATAACTGGTCAGCCGGTTGTCTAACACTAGGCCCATTCCCTTTAAGTATTAAGTTTCTGCGAAACCTAATATAGAAATCTCATTTCGTACAAATGTTGTACGCTAATAATATGTTTTAAATTAATTGTGGAAAACTTTATTAATATTTTTAATTAGAATAAGCGACAAGCTCTAACTGCACCCCGAGCCAAAAAACTGCAATATTATATTTTCTATTCACGTAATAACTCTTTTCGAAGTGAGTTCAAATCTCAGGTCTTGCACCTCTGATATTTTCACCTGCGAATCATTTCCAACATAATTACCGTTGTCTTATGGTGAAAGAAAACATTTTGAGGAAATCTGCATGTCTGAGAGAACCTAGCGCAAGTTTTCGAAAGACATGTGAAGTGCCCGTACTTGACTGGTGTTGAGGACTATGGCCTGATCCCTCTTTTAGTAAAGCTAGGCCTGTGCCCAGCAGTGGGACGTTTAAAAAGGGCTAAATCCATATATCATACATATAATTTAGAGTGGTTTAAAATGTAAAAAAATGAAGAAATCTATTTGTAATATGATGACAATAAATTTCATTATTCTCGTACGAATGAAAAAAAGATGGAATTCCAGCAGAAGCTTATTAAAACTGTTTAAGATTGTGTAAAACAGTTATAATAATAATATTGTATCGGCTGCAGAAATGTTAAAGTCAAAACTGATTTCATATTCCTGGTAGAATTGCAAAATTATTTTGAAATTGTAATTGCTGTATAGACCCGCTTAAAATATATACTTAGTTGGTGTAATAGTGGTGCTTAAATTTATTTGACTTACATTTATTAAAAGTCCAGTTCAGTAAATGAATACAACTGCTATATAAAGTACAGGGATCGATTCTTCCGTTGTCAATAGCAGTAAAATTGGCAATTATAATTCTTTACTAATAATATACAGAGATAAAGGTTTGTGAGATTTTATGTAAGGGCTGATTTTGAGAACGTGAAGAGTGTGCATGTGTGTATGTGTGAGTGCGTGTGTGCGTGTGCGCGTGGGCGAGTACGCGCGTGTGCGCGTTGTGCGTGTGTGCGTGCGTTTGTGCGTGCGTGCATAAGAGTAAATAATAATAAATAATAAACTATTTGTGTTCACCAATTGGACCCAGTTATGCAAAAAACAGCCATGTGCGTAAAAGTACAAACAGAATTATAAGCATTTTATTATAAAAAATAAAATAATTATAACAAAACGAACAATACTTATATAAATATTGTTCAATTTTAAAATAACCAGAAAAACAAAACATAACCCAAGTGCAACTATCGACAGAAAAATGCTTATAACTCTGTTGGTACTTTTACGCACATGGCTGTTTTTTGCATATCTGGGTCCAATTAGGTACGTAATCTTCCTACTCTTAACACCGTACTACCCACAATATTATGTAAAAATGAGATTATTTGACTAAATATATTAATTTTGGATTAATCTTATTACCTAATTAGCTCATATTCGATATATTATGTGTATTGTGTATCTGTTCTATACCATATTTATTGTTTTGTATTAAGTTGTTAAACAAAAATCACGATGTAAATAGTATTCATTTGTGTGATGAGCATGAATGTTTGTACTTCAGTCATGGGTGTTTATATTTATAATATGTATGTATTTAAAGCTATATATGTGTAGTGTATCAACTATCTGGTATCCATAACACAAGCCTCGTAGCTTACCATGGAACTAGATGGTGTTGTGTGTTAATGTCCCAACATATTTATATTTTACCTATTTATAATTTTTTCTCATTAAGTGAATGTTATTGTTTTGAGAAATAAATAAAACATCTTTAAACCGAAACTCACACCCGCAATGAATACCTCCATTTTTTTTGAAGTCGGGTAAAAATATAAGGGAAAATTTTGCTAAATAATAAATCTTAAAATCGCTCGTCTATTTTAATGAATAGGTACCTACTTCAACAGTAAACAATTGTGGTGAAAAGTTTTCTATACAAAGCAAACTTATCCCTGATCTTCTCCTAAGTAAGCTAAGTTAGGTTTGGTTTATGATTAAATATATTTGCTTTAATCAATTTAAACAAAAGCTATAAAGATTAAGCTTTAAATTTTATTAGAATTTCTGCTTCGAGCTTAATTTATAGGTAACTAGCCATATACTACATCTTCCATACTATAATTTTTATCATTTTTTTATACAACATGACTCACCCTTGCTCCGCTCGGGTCCGTCCCTAGTTACGTTTTAATGTTTGGTATAGATTTCTCAGAGATGAGATAATTTCCCGCAGTAAAAAGTATCCTATATGTTGACTTAGATAACCAGCTATCATCATATCAAATTTCCTCAAAATCTGTCCAGCGGTTTTCTCGTGATGCGTTCCCAGACCGACGGACAGACAAAAATTCTAAAAATTCTAAAAATTATAGATTCATCATCTGCATCGATAATTATAATGACTATTTCAATAAGACATTTCAAAAAATATTTAATGTACAGATTCGACTCAGTTAAAATTTTGTTACATGTATAGATAGATATATGTACATAATAGTATGTACATTAATTATTTCTTCTATAATTTTCTGCTATCTTTATTTAATTTATGTCTAGTTATTCTAGGTGTTGCTTTGTATACCAATATACTTGTTGTAAATGTATATTTGATTTTTATTGGTAAAAAAATCGCTTTAAATTTTTGTCTCTATGAAAAAAATCACAGATCGATCACTTCATATTAGAATCAACACACTCTTTTCTCATTTATAATACTGAAAAGAATATCCATAAAGAACATACATACAGACGAACATAGATCCTCCTATTTTTCGGAAGTCTGTTAAAAATGAAGAAGATTGATTACGTCGAAATAATTTTAGTAATACAAAATAGATTTAATGGTTAAAAGTAATTTGAAATGATTTCATTTATATTTTATAATTTATTATATTTAAATTACGAATGGAGTTTGTATATAACAATTTACTGCCACATTCAAATAGAAATAGATAAACTACAGAAGACAGATTGATGATCTTGGTTCTAATCATGGTTCAAAAGAGCTATCAGTTTTTTTCAGCCAATAAATAATTCAATAATTAAAGGTGGCAAGTTGGTTGTACACATACCAGTACCTCGATGAGCAAGGAAGGTCATCGTGATATATTACCTCGTGATATACTACCATCGTGATATATTAGGATAGGACTATATATATATACCAATCTCATTTGTATCTTCTCCATTCTATTTGACATTGGCAAAGTAATCTATGCTCAACTGGCACGCTTTAAAGCCATCAACCAAAAAAAAGAATTACATATGTACATACTTAAATTTTGACAATTACAAATTCAATTGCTACCATCATTAAAATAATTCTACACAATAACGAGTTAAATACCCCAAATTATATTATTACACAGCAACTCTACCTATTAAATTTGGTAGAGCAGTTTCGTGAAATCCTCTCGGAAACAGTTTCGGATATACGTCTAGTGTATCCGGACTGTCTGTAACGAACCGCGAAAACTGAAAGCGTTATGTAATTAACTAGTTTCTACAACATAATAGTCTTACTAACGAGGGTTATCTCTAAGTCATTATAATAAAGTTGTTATTTCTGTTTGTCTGTTTGTCCGCTTACTTCTTTAATACTACGGAACAGATGTTCATATTATTTTGCTATATGTAGAGTATCTCCTGTGAAAGGTTTATAATTTATTAGTATAATAAATTGATTCTAAATTTATGGATTATAAGTATTATATAATAAAATTCTAACTGAGTCGAATCTGTACATTAAATATTTTTTTGAAAGTTTTATTAAAATAGTCTTTGGTATCGATACAGACGCCGAATCTATAGTTTTAAGAATTTTTGTCTATCTGTATGTCTGGGAACGCATCACGAGAAAACTACTGTACAGATCAGACTGAAATTTGGTATGATGATAGCTGGTTATTTGGGTCAACATATAAGTTACTTTTTACTGCGAGATATAATAATAAATAAATAATATAAATAAATAAATATGTTGGGAAATTAACACACAGCGCCATCTTGTTCCATGGTAAGCTACGAGGCTTGTGTTATGGATACCAGATAGTTGATACACTACACATATATAACTTTAAATACATACATATTATAAATATTAACATCCATGACTGGAGTACAAACATTCGGATCAAATTCGTTCAAATCAAATGAATGCCCCCTGCGGGACTCGAACCCGAGACCGCTGGCACAGCAAGTAGGGTCACTACAAACTGAGCCAAACCTGTCGTCATCAGAGATCAGAAAATACTCCATAGAAGCGAGGGTGAGTCGCTAGTTGACAAAATATAAAATTTTTCCTCATTTTTGCATATATTTAGATAATATAATATGTCCAGGAACTAAACTATAGCAAAGCAGGAAATATAAGACATGAAAAATTGCATCAAGGCAGTTGTTATTTGCAATTATATCGTATACCTATCACTTTCACTTACATGCGTCGTCAATCACGACGTACTTAAGCAAATTACTTTTTAAGTAATGTAAAAAAAACCATTCTTTTCTATAGTAGTTTAAGTTATTAGTCAAGTGTGTATTGATTTTAAAATTTGCATGTATATTACGTATATATTACAGTTAAAACTACCTTTGACTGGTCTACCTTGGACAGTCGTTCGTTTGACAAAAACAGTCAAATGTAGGTACTTTTGACCATTTGAGAATGTGTTTTTTGTACTTAAATGATATGAATGATCAGAAGTACTTTTTACTGGTTTTGTCAGCCAAAAGTAGTTTTGACTGGAAAAGAGTTTTGACTGTAACTTGTAGAACAGTTCTAATAAAAGTATGAAAATTATTTTTCAATGATTTATTGCTAAATATAAAAATATACTTCAATACACAAATAGATATATTTAATAAACATGCTCGCAATTATATTACTCATTCTTGTTTAGAAAGCGAGAGTACAATTGTTACTAGTTATGATATAATAGAATAGATTATGTTCTAAATTTTGCTATTATTCAGTTATTGTTGATTAGCCAACAGTGTCACGGTCGTTTGCTTGATGTAATAATAACATTATAACTACAAGTATTAGACCAGGGTTGATAATTTTTGAAACCAAAAAACAAACACTAGGACGAAATCCATTAAAATAACAAAAAAGAATATAACAAAAATGAAAAGAAAAATAATTTACGGCGATCTGAGATCGGGAGGTGCGATGGGGTGAGTTTATAAGGGTAAAAAATGGTTTATCTCGATTTCCGGCAAAACTACAAGTCCTATGGAAAAAAATTAAATGGCAAAGTTATAGGTAATAAAAAGATCTACAACTCTTAAATTTACACATTTTTCACAAAACCTCAAAATTTATGTGAAAAATTCAAATAACCTAGTTTTTGGTTTTTTATTTTTATCTTTTACAAAAAAAACTTTTCACGAAATTTGGTGAAAACTTACCTTTTTATGTCCCAAACATACAGTAATTTTTCCACTTTCAAATCCCTGGTCTATATCTTTTTAAATGAAATTATCTTTTTCGGATTTTTTCGTAGATTTATTTGTTTGTATTATCTGTAATAAATATATACATAATTGAGACTGCTACAATCTTAGGTTCTACCGTGACTGGGATTACTGTAAAGCGTTCGAAACGTCGGAAATAAAAAATCAAAATAAATCCTATATAGGTAGGTTAAGGTTATAAAATCTTAGATAATATCTAGAACTTATGAATATATCCATCAGTAATTTTTTTGTTGAGAAAGTGTTTATTAAACCAGATATGATGTAACTTTTAGGTTGTATTATTTATTTTTATATTTATATAATACTAGCAAGTAACAACTCACCCTTTCTTTGTTGGAGTTCGTCCCTAGTGAAAAACAAAGACAAATCCATCCCACAGGAATCAAATATTTTTTCGGAAAAAAGTAGCTTATGTGCTATTCCAGACTATAATTTATGTCTGTGCCAAATATTATTTAGATCCGTTAGGCCGTTCTGGCGTGATTGAGTAACAAACATTTATCTATCCAAACTTTCGCATTTATAATATTAACGGATTTATAAACTAAGTTTGAGTTGCGTTGAGCTGAAAAACTGTTTAACATTTATATTACTACTTTTGATTAGTAAATATTATGTACGAGTAAGTAATAAATATTTTTGCAAATTAATTCAAGTATATATCTTTAATTTCTTTAAAAAACACAATATTCGCATTCTGTGACATCCTGGTACGTTAGCATTGCACCAGACGTCTAATTCAAATGAGTGTATATAATTAACATGATTATATATGTATTTAATGAATATAATTAATAAAATAAATAATTAAATATATAAAAATGAGAATTGATTTTAAGGCAACTTTAATGTATAATATTTCAATGTTTTGTAATTGCCTAACAAAAATTGCAGGCAGAATTGGTGGGATTGTGCCCTACCACTTGCTTTGCAAGAGGGGACCAAGCTGCTCGCAGTCGTCGAGTAAAGCTAGTGCAGTGTAGATCAGAAACAGATTAAACACTAACAAATAATCATGTGTGGAGAAATGGGTAAAGCGGTATTGCGGGCTCTGACCGGAGCGCTGCTCTGTGGCCTTGTATCAGATGCGGCTTATTTAGAAGTAAGTTATAATATATTTTTAAAATATATCACTAGCTGTGCCCGCGACTTCGTTTGCGTGGATGATATAAAAATGCTGCGCTTAGAAATATGTTTTAATTAAAAACTCCTTCATTGAAAAGGGAGGGCCCTCAGACCTGATTATTTTTTCTAGTGAATGAAACATTACAAAAAATAAAAATAGAAATGGCACTCTATTATAAATGTAACTCAATGTTACCTCGACATATTGATCAATTCGGTAGTTTTCATTTGATATGATATCAAACACAGATAAACAGACAGACAATTTTTTTTAAAACCACGATATTTTTTTGTTTTCTTATCCTCAGTCCCCAAAACTTTTTTTTGCAATTACAAGCAATGTATAGATTGTTGCGTATTTTGTTTAAACAACATTATAAACATGTTAAGTAATTCTTAACTATTAGTATATTTTTGATTTAAGACGTTGATTTAAATTAATTATATATTAATATTAAATGATTAAATTCCTATATCCGCAAAGTAACTGAAATCCAATTTTAGATATAGTAATTGTACAGTCAACTCAAGATTTTAATTAAAGTTCTAAGTTCTTATGACAAGCTGTCTTAGAAATATTATATATTTCAGAAAGTAGTTAGAAATTTTAGGTATGCTATTATAAAACTTTGGTTTTAATTTAATTTCAACATTTATTTTAAAGAATATGTAAGAAGTACATAGTAAATTTAAAACGTACATACATACATATATACATGCACATACATAATATGTAACTGCGCTACTATACGCTAGTTTAAAAAAAACATATTTCATTACAAGCGATTTACACTTGCTTCGCTTGGGCGTCCCTAGACATGTTTTAAATAGATCAAAATAGTTAAGGAGATAACATGGCTATTACGGATTTTTCTGTAGACCTTTTCAAGACCTAAATTTTCCAATTACATTGGTTTGATATAAATTTTAAGAGACCAGCGTTGGCCATGTAAATTTATCTAAGGATAACTCGACAGAACCAGTTATTGTCTTTTCCCGTGGGAATGAAAATTTTTCCTGTAGTAGGTAACCAAACTGTTGACTCGAGTAATAAGTTATCACTACACTAAATTTAGCTAAAATGGGTTCACTATTTTTTGCGTGAAATTCAAATAGATATACAGACAAACAGATACACAGACAAACAGACAAACAGACCAAAATTTAATAACTGTTCTTTTGGGGTATGTATGCTGTAAACAATACGTAACAAACATTGTTTTAAAAAAATATATCACGTACAGATTTCGCTTTGTTACTATTTTATTATATGTAAAGATTCACGTTTTAAAATATTTTATGATTCAAAATATTTTTTTTTTTAAATATTATGAATGTAAAAATATAATTGGCCAATGTAAAATCGTCTATAAAATTTATTGACATCGGTTTCATTGGCCATTTTCTGATAAACTAATCCTTCGAAATGTATTTTAAGGATCTGAAGCGTGTGAGTGTGATCCCATTTTTACTGCTTTTGTACAAATGACATGTTAGAAAATTTATTATATCGAGAAAGATTAAATAGCTAGATTTACTACTGAATATTATTTAAAGAAAGATTGCGTTCGATTAAGGCTAAATATGTTTATTATGTAACCAAATTATTTTATTGTGGATTTGGGTTTTCACTTTTACTGTATTTTAATTCTTTAATTTATGATATAGTACTTTTGTGATCGTCGATACTGAAGAAAACGAGAAATATATCGATGTTCCGATATTTGTGATGAAAATGTGTTTTAATATATCATATTTGTTTTTTTTTATGTATAAACAATTATTAAATAAACTAGCAACTCACCTCGTTTCGCTCGGACTCGTCCCGAGGTTTCCAAATACAAACTTTCATCCCCATTTTTACCCTCTTAAGGATGATTTCCGGGATAAAAACAATCCATGTCCTTTTCTGGGTTCCAAACTATCTTTTTACGTCATTTCATCTAAATCGGTCCAGTAGTTTCAGAACCTATTGGGTACAAACAAACATAAAAATCTTTCTTCTTTGTAATATGATTATAGTTTGCTGTACAAAATCAATTTAAGATTTGTATAGTATAACATTTGCTCGGCCCGAGAATCCAATTCATAACCTCTGGCATAGTAGATAATGCCTATCACACGCGCTCTTCACTTCGTAATACTAAATAACTTATCTATTAAATGAAATATAATTATATATAGTAAATAAGAACTGAAAATGACTTTCTCTATTCTTTTTTCATAAAATTCGAGGTAAAGTTTCAAAAAGATGCGAAGAAGCCATAATCGCATAGTATCCGACACGCACATGACCATTTTTTGTTTTTGCTTCACAAACTTCGGCAGTTTGGAAAAATTGGACGTGTTTTTCTGATTGGTTTTCCGTATTGTGACATTTTGGCAGTAATAATGTTCTAATAGATAGTCTTTTTTTAGGAATTTCACGTTGAATTGTAAAATATTTAAGCTATTGTGTGATAAATTACCATAGATTCAAGAATATTGTACAAAATTATGACCAAAGTACTGTGTTAGGTATCTACGAATGTGCCATATCTTAACTAGACTTACATTGTATTTGTAGAAATATGAAGACTCTGTAGAAATAAAAGTAGTAATTCTTGGCTTATTCCAAGTCAATAATAATAGTAATTATATTCGTATTAATATTATAAATGTGAAAGTTTGTGAGTATGGATGTTTGTTACTCTTTCACGATGAACGGCTGAACGGATCTGGATGAAATTTGGCACAGAGATAGATTATAGTATGGAATAACACATACTATGTTATATGTTATACGGTTCCCGAGGGATAGATTGGTTTTTGTTTTTCTAAAGGCGAACCCGATCGAAGCGAGTGCGAGCCTCTAATTTTTTTTATTATATAGGTGCTATAAGCATAACTACGTGTTAAACGACACATTTATTAATATCTGTAATATCTGTAATAATAAACGTGTAATTGCGCTCTGGTAATGTTTTACTTCATTACTTTTTTTTTATTTTATACATGAAATAATATAATGAAAAATGCTAAATTTTAAGATTGTACATGTAAGGTATGATCTAAGTTAAAAGGATTATATATGTAATAGTTTTACCGTCTGATTACTGAGCTATATCCATTACGATAGGGCATTAGATCATAGTAGACTACGGCTATGCTGACCGAATGTTGACGGATATCACATGTCTTTTGAGACGAATTAGGTTCTTGCTGATATACAGGTGGTATACTGATACTCATGTGGTTTTCCTTGGCCTTGTTCCATTAGAGTAATTTGTTTTCTTCGAATTTGTCGATTTTCAAAGAATTTAGAAGAGGGAGAATCTAATAAAATTTATTAAAAACAACAAAACAGACCCAGAAATAACATTTATATGGGTATATTATAAAGCTTTAAAACCATAAGAATTTATTATATTTTTTATTATTATTGCGATTAAAAGATCAGTTACTAAGATATTAAAAAAGGAAAAAGTGTACAAGTTGAGTATAATAAATTACAAACGTTAAAGAATATACGTCTCTATAATTTTTAAACTTCTAACAGCCGATGCGTATTTCACGAGGAACTTTTGATATAATTGGCTTTCGGACCAAGTTATGGCAATAAAAGATTTTGTTATAAATTTCTCTTTAAATGTAAAGGGAAGTTTCACACACTAGATTTCTTACCTATGCATATAATAAAATGCTAACCGAATAGAATGTGTACATTAAATATTTTTCGGAAAATCTTATTGAAATAGTCATTACTATCGATACAGAGGCTAAATCTATAGTTTTTAAAACTTTTATGTGTCTGTCTGGGAACGCATCACGAGAAAAGCACAGGATAGATTTCGATAAAATTTGGTATGCTGATAGCTGGTTATCAAGGCTGTATGTTGGCCTTACTTTACTTTTTACTCCGGCAAAATATCTCATTTCTGAGAAATCTATACTATACGTTAAAATGAATCCGAGCGGAGCGAGGGTGAGTCGCTAGTTAGTATATATAAGATTAGAATATAAGGAAAAATAATTATTTTGGTCATATTACAAAAAAACGCTATTTTTTGATAGAGTTATAATAGGTTTTATGGTAAAAGTAAATCGAATGTATCAAACCCCATGTGACTAAAGCTTCGAGCGCGATGTAATAATTCGCACTCATAAGGCAACTTTAACTTTTGCAATTTTCGGGCTACCCTCCATTCCCTTCAAAGGCGAATTACTGCTGGTTAAATTTACTCTCATTTTCGTAAGATCTGCTTTTTAGTTTCATTTCTTTGATCAAGCCTCTCAAAGTAGAAATTGTTGAGAACTCTGCTCCCGTCAAATTGGTATTCAGAGGTGATCTCGCAAATTCGCACCTCACAGTGTACTTGTGTTTCTTTTTTCACTTAAACATTTTGTTCAGTCATTTCGCTTGTTTGATGTTTATTTTTTGTCACGATTTCTCCGCTACGAATTTCCGGCAGGTCCTTTGAAAATTGACACTCCTTAAGACTTGAAATTGGAGGAAAGTGAACTGTTGCTAATTTTTTTGTTCTTTATTGTCGTACAATATTTGTTTTTTTTTTTCATAAGATCAGTAAAACTCATTAAAATGAAAAAAATAATTTAAAGTGTTATTTAGTGTGCTTAATGTTTATACTCAAAAAATATTTCCTATTACTTGTAACTACTAAGTGAAATATGTTCAAGTTTATTTATTTTTAATTAACCAATACATAGAATGTTAGAAAAAATTATTTCAATTAAGATATCATCTGATTATTATTTTTTTATAAAAAATATTTCATTCGAAGCTTATAAAAGACGATGGAAGGCTTAAGTTAAGTAGAAAGAATTCTTGTCAATTTTTGTTGTCCATATTTTATTTGAGGAAAAATGGGAAAAGTAATAAGCGAGAAATAAGAAAAGTTACTCTCGAAACTAATAAAATTCTTAACTCAAAACTTTTGCTGTGCTCCTTGCTCAACGTTACTATGAAATTGCGTGTTCAGTACCTGTTCCATCTTTTGTTCGAAATTTTAATCTTTTCTTCCAAAACATAATTTATTTTAAAAACAAAACTATATTATTGAATTTCATCTCATCCCATTTATTTGAATTTAAATACTTTTATAGTACAAAGGAAGCAATTTCCTGCACCTGTCGCAGCACTACTAGTATTTTTATATATAAAAGTAACTTTCTGATGCTTATAGATACAGCTTTTATGTCGTGAATTCCAATAAGAGATAAAAGCTTATATTTAGAATATTTTCTAAGCTTATTATAAACTTTTTAAAATTATTATTATTATATTTTTGTACATACATATTTTTATACCATACGGTTCATATTTAACAAAAAATATAAGGGAGTTTATATTTATATCAATTTATAAATAAAATTCTAAGACTCTCATATATACGAGCCAGACTGTCCTTGTCCTAAAAGAAATTAAGAGTAGCCCAGATGTTAGAAGTTTAATGAAAGGGACTGGTTGACTAGTCACGGTCGACCGGCGCTTGCGCAGTCATTTCTCAATCGCCAGGTGGAATGTTTCTGGAAAAGTAAGGAAGGAATTGTGGTGAAATACTTTCAAATATTTTATTTGAACAAATGTTTTGTATGTTTTTGTTTTTTGTATAATAATAAGTGTTTATGGCATAGTTATTATAATCTTTTTTATATAAGGAACTTTTCCATGTTTGTATTGCTAGGTAGTTTTATATAACGACACATCAAGTATCCTTAAAAGGAAATAAATCAAAGGTTAATAAGTCACATCGATATTAAAGCTTTTGAAAGGTATTCATAGTGTTCCATATAAAAAACTCTGCATCGTTAAAAAAGGGTTTAAGGTTTGACTGTGAGAATATAATGCGTAAAAACAAATAGACAGATAAATAGTTTGTTACTCATATATTGTAGTTTAGATACAAATAAAATTTGTTCTCAGTCGCCGTGTTTCCAACAGCATGAAAACATGTCGTTAATATTACGGTCAAAGTATTTAAGTATGTAGAGTGAATGTAATTAATACATATGTATTTAATTTTACATTAACCATTTAATTGACGAGATCAAATCTTTACATTTTAATATATTTTAATATATTATAACCGCGTACATGTATCGATCGTATTTATACTTAACGGTTAGTATAGATTTAGAAAAAGTATCCTATATGTTGTGTTTGGTTGAGCAGATATCATTATACCAATTTTTATTAAAATCTGTCCAATGGTTTTCACGTGATGCGTTTCCAGACAGACAGACAAGAGTTCTAAAAACTTGAGATTCGGGCTCTGTGACAATAATAATGACTATTTCAAAAGATTTTCCAAAAAATAGTTTATGTACAGAATCGAATTTGTTACAATTTTATTATATGTATAGAGCAATTGATTATTTCATAGCACTAGGATATATTTAAAACCTAGATCAAAAAGAAGTTTTGCTCCCTAAAGGAAATAAATGTAGAATGTTAAAGCTTAGTTTGTTGGTAACATTGTCATACTCCATAAATCTTTTAGGACTTTAAAACACGCAAAGTAAATAGAGAGTAAAAAAGTTTATATTCGGCTATAATATTATTTGGGGTACCCTAAGGATGCGCTAGGAAAATAAATAAATATGTTAGGACATTAACACACAGTACCATCTAGTTCCATGTTAAACTACGAGCTTGTATTATGGATACCAGATAGTTGAAACACGATATATAACTTTAAGTACATACATATTATGAATATAAACACACCTGACTGGAGTAAAAACATTCGTGCTCATCACACAAACGAATATCCCCAGCGGGACTCGAACCCGCGACTCTACAAATCACTCGCGGTCACTACAAATTGAGCCAAACGTGGCGTTAAAAAAGAAAAGGTAGTTAATAAAAATAGAACAATATTTAGTTATTGAACATTATTTATTATTTGTATTTAAAGATAGATTTTAGATTAAATTCATTTAAGTTGATTTGCCTTTACTAAACGAACTCATTCTTCTAATTAATTATATATATTTGAGTGAAGCGACAGCATGAGAGCTTAGTAAATAGTGGAAAAATATTTCCAAGCGACTTATTTCTTACTTATTCCTTTCAAGTTTGAAATACAATTCTTAATTGCAAAGTGGAGCAATAACTGCTGTACTGTCTGTTGCATAAATATTTAATGGGTACTACACAAACACTTTAAAACGCTTAATTATTAAGGACTTTAATTTATCACGACTTATTTTGTAATGTAACTTGTGTTGAAATTAGTACACGTTTCAAAGCAAAAGAGAATTTTTAATATTTGCGAAGAACAAATATATGTAATTGTATATACAAAGCTACTAACATTTTATTAGGTAAGAAATAATTTTTACTTTGCATTGGTTACGTAGATCAAAGCGTCACAAATCAATTAAATTGATATGAAGAAGAAGAAGAATGAAGGTTGGCTGAGCCGATTTTACCTACTATTGAAATATCTTTTGACCTCAACGTTCACGAATGCCGTATTATAACCTTTTCTATAATACAATTTACATTTAATAAAGTATCGTCCATTGGATATGTAAAGAAATATGATCTTATCATTGATTGTAACATCTTAAATAAAAACAAGGTAAAAAATTACGGAGAGAGAAAGAGAGTGGAAGGGGGGCAGAGAGAGAAAAAGTATAATAACTAATAAGACAATAGCAAGTATAATATTCCCTCCACGACCGCGGACACGCCGGCGTGTCAGTTAACAATATATTTCTTAGAATTTAAATTAATTTCTTAGAAATTTACCTGGAGGTGTTAAAGGAGACATAAGTTAATCAAAAGCCAAAAAAATAGTTTGTGTCTATACATTAAACATGCGCTCTACTTACATGAAAGTATCTGTACAACAAAGAATGCCTAGGAATTCTCAAATAAGACAAACAGACGAAGTAATAAAAAATATTGAAACCTATTATATATATATATATATATATATATATATCCCCTACATAAAATTTCAAACCGCGAAAATTTTGCGGGCATAAAAAATATGATTGGCACCTGCCAAAGGCAATTGGTTCAAAATTCACACAAAAATTATTTGTAACAAATGTTGTCTAACGTTTTGACAAGGTTAAAAAGAAAATGTAGCATTTTTTTTATTCTTTCTGGAATGAGAAGAAACTAGAACGATCAGTAAGAAAAGATCAAAATGGCTAAAATGGAATAAATATTTCAAGAAAAATTAAGGGTTGGACTTTTAAAGCAATTTTGGAGTCGATGTACTTTTTTAGAAATGAAGCAATAAAATTTTATTAAAATATTAAATTTTTATGTTAAATTTTAGTTATTAGTATATAAAATAAGTGTATAATAAGTTTCATGTGTAGACCCTTTTGCTAAGTCAGTCAAGGTTGTCCACATGTTATATAACCTTACTTGATTATCTTTCTTAGGCGGCCTTTCACTCAAGGTGGGTCAATTTGCCAACGTAATCATGACATTTCGCTGCCCTCGATCTTAGTCAAACTACTTTCTCTACAATTGAAAAAGAAACTTATTCTAATATTAATAGAGATTATTTTCGACTAGAACGTTAAGTTGAAAAAATGAAGCATTTTCAATGTATGTTTTTGTGACGCAATCAACAAGTTAACGAGTTTGGAAGCTCATTTCTGTTAGTGTTAACGTGCTTATATATACTTAATGTTAAAAATATATTACTGTTTTAGAAGTTCATATTATAATATATTTTTCCGTATTAAAGTTATGGGTATATCATAAGTTTTTCGCTTCGTCGGTCTAGTTGTTAGTATGTACGGTAGCAGAACCCGGAGTTCTGGGTTCGAGGACTTATACTATCTTCCTATATAATACCTCTTTCTATAGATTAAAACCATATTAAAACCCTACTGGTTTTACAGTAGTTTTTGAGATTAGCTCGAACAAACACATAATATTCAGCGTGGCGGAGGACTTTAATTTATAATATATAGGGACTTTTTTTTTAATACTAATTATTAAATCTACATTGTTACAGAGATACGAACCCTATCCCTTCCAGTATGAACCACGGATTGTATACAAGAAGCCACTAAGAGAGCATGAGAAGCCACAAGACCTCCGCAATGTGCCAGGCACACCCGGTGTGGACTACCCTATATACCATGCTGTGCCAGAAACTCACTTCTCCTGTGCCCACGTGCCAATCCATCCTGGCATGTATGCCAATGTTGAAACTGGATGCCAAGTAAGTACAAAAGTATAGCGAGTATTAATATATGAATGAAGACACGTTTGGCTCAGTTTGTAGTGAAAGTGCCAGCGGTCGCGGGTTCGAGTCCCGCTGGGGGCACTTATTTGTGTGATGAGCGCGAATGTATGTACTCCAGTCATGGGTGTGTATATTTATAATATGTATGTATTAAAGTTATATATGTGTAGTGTATCAATTATCTAGTATCCATAACACAAGTCTCAAAGCTTACTATGGAATTAGATGGTGTTGTGTTTTAATGTCCCAACATATTGTATTTATTTTATTCATCTATGAATTGTTATTGTGTAAGTGTTTGTCAGTTTGAATTTCGTATAAGGCAGCTTATGTATCGATTAATGCAGTTTTGCTCAACATAAAAGTTTGAGATTAGATGAAAAGGATAAAATGATACTATATTTTGACGGACATAGCTGTATATCAAACCTCATTCAAAAATATCAATGAAATTAAAACGTAAGTATAATATTCTAACCGACTTCAGAAACGGAGGAAGTTCTGAGTTAAATATATGTGTGGATATTTTTGTATATGTTTATAATGCGATATACCTATTGAACATATTATTATAGATTTTTAGACATTGTGAAACGAAGTTGATAAATGTAATACTTAAAATTGAAATAAAACAAAGAGCACTAAACTAAGAGCACAGTTTGCAAATAGATCACGTCCTAAACGAGCCAATGCTAGACTAGACAATAGGGTCCGCAGGGACTAAGTTTTTAAAGTGTGCCAAAGGAAATTGCAAACACGTAACTTTTAAAAGTTATCTCCATCTGATAATAATTGTAGGACAGGATGAAAATAACATAAATAAACCCACAGTTAAATTCTTACAGTAAATCTCAACTAGTAGGTCTATATTTTGTGCAGAGAAGAATTTGGGACTAAATATATATTATTAAAGTATAGTGTAATACACAAAATTTTCATTTTATCCCATAAAAATCGTAATGAAACTAATGGATTTGATGCGAAGGATTTGACACTAGCGAAAAATCTTGGCTTCTCTTGGGTGTGTCCTTAGGTTCTTAATTTGTATAAATAATATACATTTGCGTTGGTCTTTATTTAGATGTAAGTTTATACTTTCTTAGATTGACGCGAATATTTGATATTTTAAATGAAACCATTATTTCGGATTTTTTCGCGGATTTATTTTGATTTTTGGTTTTCGGACATTTGAATGCTTTAGAGTAATCATGGTCTCTCCCGTGACCATGATTGCTGTAAAGCATTCAAAATATCCAAAACTTTTTTTTATGTATGTAATTCTCTACTACTTCTCGTTCTAGTATTTCACTTTTTATCACTGTACAGAGACGTTTGATTGCAACACTATTTCAATTACAGATTACAGCGATATCACTATTTAATAGAATTAATACTGATCACCATTCAAGGAAATTTTGAGCTCATGATCTCTACTTCTGCTTAGCTTAGCCACTTAGACACTTTAGGTAAAAATAAGCACATTGTATAATATAATATTGCAAATGTATATTAATATTTAAAAATAACTCAAACAGATCACAGCATAAACTTTAATTTTGTACAGCTTTCTTGGGATAGGTATGTATATAATACAGTACAGTAGCTGTCAACTTATTCGTCATTCCCTTCAATAACACTATCATGAAACCTTTCATTTCACTTTGTTCAACGGATCCAAGATTAAATTCCGATTAGATTTCCTTCAAAACTTTCCGCTTATCAGTCACCGAACCTTTGGTTTCAACTAAATAATCGTGTTCTTTAAGCGAATTTCCACGTAGCCAAATTACTATGGCCGACCAATTTGGCCTAAATTGAATAAGTTTGAAGACATTGTTAGCGCTGCGTGACTAACCTGAGACTCGGAGGCCCGTAAACCAAAATTATAATTTCAATCGCGTTATTTCTAGAAAATTAATTAAGTCAAATTTTCAAAAGAATCAATCCGTGAAAGGGGAATGAAAGGAAAAGCAAAGTTGCACAAGTCCGAATTGAATCGGAGCTTTATTTAAAGTCTGTAACACTTTCCAAAAGATAGATTAATTATATTCCATTTGCTTTGACTATTTCTTAGACATTGAATGGCTGTTTAAGTTGAAAGGAATTTTTTTTGGTAAGTTATTTGGGGGAAAAAATAGAAAAGATATTTTCATTTTAGATAAAAAAATAAGATAATAATTATATAATATATTTGACACTCGTAATGCTTCATATACAAGAAAAATGTTCATTATATTATGCACTACATATAAACTTTATATTGTTAGGTACAATTTTTCGTCTCGCTAAAATTAAATAACTAACCGAAAATGTTAACTCATTTCTCATACACGCCCTGTTCTACAAAAGCTAGTTTCTAAGCCTTTATTGAATAACTAGCAGCCATTGGAAGCTTCACTCAAGACAAAGTGAATTTGCCATTATCTTGCCAAATTAAATTGCGAAACCTATTTGAGCTCAATTTTCAAATTCTGATGATAATGTTGCTACCGTTCATTTTTCAGCTTATTTTTTTCTTACAGATTTTCTACCTTTGATAGATTTTGTGATAATACCCTGGTCGAATAACCATGAATTTTACCTCTAAAATACTAAAAGATTCATAAAGAATAAATGAAATCGCGAGCTTTTCTAAATTATTTCAGAACAATATTCTGTTCGATACTGATTATTATTTAATAAAATTTTATTTTAAATTTATTAATAACTAGCAAAACCCGCGGCATTCGCGCTAAAACTACAAAAAATCCCTAAAAAAGTTGGTTCCATACAAACTTTCATCCTCTATTTTACCCCCTTATTGGATCAATTTCGAAAAATGCTAAAACACGTATTTATTTAATTGTGTTGAAGACCATTTATACTAAGTTTCAAGTAATTCTGAACATAAATAATTTTTAGGTTGTATTATAACGTGTTTTCCCGTGGGAATGAGATGACCCCCCGCGCTGAAAAGTAGCCTAGCTCTCCAACTATCTCCACACAAATCACCCCAATCCGTCACTCCGTTTCAACGTAAAATAAGGACAAACAAACAAACACAATTATAATATTAAGTATAGATTTATTTAAATTTATTATATTCGTATGAGAAAAGATAATAAAGAGTTATCATCATAGCCTTTAACTAACTAGTTAACTATGTATGGTAATATTTATAAAATCAATCTTACAGGCTTATCACGTTTGCCACGATGGCCGCGAAGGTCACCAGGGCGCCTCCTTCCTTTGCACTAATGGAACGCTCTTCGATCAGGCCAAATTCGCTTGCGATTGGTGGTACAACGTCGACTGCTCAAAAGCTATAGAGCACTACAAGTAAGATTTCGTAACTTGTTTTACAAATTTATTAACTTATAATATAAGCTACTTACGCTACGGTTTTGGCTTTACCAAGATCCTAAATAAGGCTGAGATAAGAAAATTGACATTGTTAGTAGAATAGAAAAAACTACTAAAATTATCTTAGTGTTATATCATATTGTTATAATATGTTATTTCCATATATTTATTATTTTTATTTTATACATTTGCTGCCCTCATTTTATTTATTTATGCTTCTTATGGAATGCTACGCCATATTTTGTTAAGAAATCTGTATTTTAGTTAATAGTATTCTGGCTTTCTCTAATTTAAGGTAAATCTATCAAGAAATTAATATTATAAAGATAAATGTATTATTAGAACCGCTTATGTCTCAATTAATATTTTGTTCTACGAAAAATCTTTTAAAGTACACTCTGCTCTGCTCCAATTGCCACCCCTGTTTATTATTTATCGTGCTTAAATTCTGCTATAGATCATTAACGTTACGGGCTATTCGAAAATTGCTTTAATTTACTAAATTAATATGATGTATTAATTATTTTAAAATATTTATCTGCTATTCATAAATATCGTGAGAACGATTAAATATATTTGTTAATAATTAACAAAATTAATTCTTTTAACGTATAGTTAAAAACTTAAATATATTAGTATTACTTTAACTGAAAGCCGTATCCGTAGGTTTCATCGTTATGCAAATAATCTGTAGCGAATAATAACGATACGTTAAAATTACTATAAAATATACGGTATAAAATATTATTATGTATTTAAAGTAAATACACGCTATAAATTCTGGAAGCAGCGGGATTTATTCACGCACCCCTCTGAGTACCTCACAGTGGGTGCCAATTTAGCTATCATGCTTGATACTTGTTGTTATTATTAAATTGTATATATATATATATATATATATATATATATATATATATATATATATATATATATATGTACTATTAAGAATAGGGATATTCTATCTATTGAGGGAATAATTAGTCTAATAGCGAACTTATAGATATATAGCGTAGATATATAATGCATAATATATGGTGTAAATCCGACTCCGCGTTCTAGTACCGGTAAATATATTGCCTAGACTATATTATTATGTGTATTGTATAAATTATTATATTCTTAAATAACTTATTATTATATATTTTTAATATTTTTTTTGTTAATGCAGATTGAACGCTGATCCATTAAAGAACCCATACGTGCCGAAGCCAAAAAAAGAAGAAATAGAAGAAGCCCCACATGGAATTTTCTATAGAAAGATACACGCTTAAGTTATTCATATGTCACCACTCATTCACATAAAAAAACATAAATATTAAATCATCTGTAGATTTCATACCATCTTTTCGTATAATGATTCAAATTAGACTTTCATAATAGAAATTCAGAACATACTTTATTAACAGGCTGTACGCAATTTTGAATTGTAAATTCATCTTAAAAAGATTCATTGTTGTCAGTTTAATATACGAGTATACTCGTACATATTATGTAAGCTATGAATGTACTTCTGCTAAGACCAGTTGTCGAGTTATCCATCCTTTAAATTTGGCTTGATTAATTTTGTATATAAAATATTTTAATATACAACCTAAAGGTATATGCCCAAAAACAACTTTCAAAGCTAATGTTTTAACCGCAAATTTGAAGTTGTATATATATACGTGTTCTGCAGAACTAGCTTTTGAAAGCTTATTTTAATAGGATATTTTAAGATGACTGATTAACTTTTACTTTGCTTCAATTTTAATTCATTTAACTCATTTCTCATACTTCATTTTTGTATTTATTATAATTAGATGTAATTCTTTAATATTCACTTTCATTTCATTAAAAATTGTGGTCACAAAATTCAATCATCTTCATACATTTTTATAAGTTTTTACAAAGTAGAATAATACTCAATTTGGGTAAGTTTAAATTGTAATATATGATTAAGAAGCCATTAAATAATTACCCATGTATCTTGTTTTATTTCTCACTAGCGACTCACCCTTACTTCACTCGGGTTCGTCCCTAGTAAAAAACAAAAACAAATCTATACCATGGGAACCACAAACTTTTCCGGGATAAAAGTAAGCTATGTGCTAACCCAGACTATAATCTATTTCTATGCCAAATTTCATCCAGATCTGTACAGGTTATGTTGAGTAACAAACATCCATCCAAACTTTGGCATTTGTAATATAATAATGAAAAAACCACTATTTTGATATTTGATATTAATTAATCTGTGACAATATCAAGCTGTCAAGATTCCTTGTCAAGTTGACTTTGTGTCAAAGTAGAAGTGGCGCGATATACGAATCGGTGCATCACTGAATAATTTTCGAAGAATTGTATTTATAAACCAGAAATGAATACAAGTACTTAAAAGTAAATAATTAATAGTCAGATTTATGTAAATAAGTTTCTACTATTGTTCTTTTGTGTTTATAATATTATATATTGAGAGGATGAAAGCTACATTACATATCTTTTCTATTACCGATATACTACATTTATTTTTCTGTTATCTATTCGTACTAGTAAATGATAACTGCACTAAACGTAACGTATTGATTTGATCCCTTCAATATATGATATTTTACTGTAGAATACCCAACATAAAGCTACGACGTAGGAAAGCGCCATCCAATAAGCATCAAGCCAATATAATAAAATATATTGGCTAATAATATAAGAAATAGTCATATATTAACCTATTTTGTCATTCCGCAAAATCTATACATATAATAAAATTCTGAGTTGAATCTGTATATCAATTTTTTTTGGAAAATGTTATTGAAGTAGTCATTATTATCGATACAGAGGCCGAATTATAGTTTTTAGAATTTTTGTCTGTCTGGGAACGCATCACGAGAAAACCATGGACAGATTTTGATGAGATTTGGTGTGATGGTGGCTGGTTATCAGGATCAACATATAGGATACTTTGTAATATGGGAAAATATCTCATTTCTGAGAAATCTTACCTAGGGATGAACCCGAGCGGAGCGAGGGTAAGTTACTAGTTAAAATTAAATTGAATTATTTTATCCATTTATATGAATAATTGTATATTTATATATCCGTTTTAATAAAAATTTGGAGATTATGCAAATTGCACATCCATTAAGGTTTCTGATAAAACTTTGTTAAAGAACGTAAGGTAAGCGTCGTTATTATCTAAACTGCAGTATTCTCAGTAAGGAACCCATATTAATATTTTAAATGTGACGTCACGTCAAAATTTAACGTCAAAATAGAGCGATGAATCGATGTGATTTTTATATGAGGATAGTTGGAAGAATGGAGAGCGACAAAAGCCAATTTTTGTATGGCGGGATAATATCTCATTTCCACGGGAAAACACGATAGAAAAACTTATTTACAAGGAATTTCGATTGATAGGATTTTCTGTCTTGATAGAAGCAGAGCGAGAGCTATAAAGAGAGCATATGGCAAGAAGGTGATATTAAGTACTAGCTCGAATAAACGAAGGGTAATATAATATATATAATAAGGTAATTAGTTTTATATGCAAAGACAGATTGTTAGTATAAAATATTAATAACAATTTCAACTAAAAAGTTACCCTGACTTCGAAAACACTTAAAAATATTTCTAAATTAAAAGTAAGAAAGTATTAGGAACTTAGAAAATTAATATTATGCAACCACCTTTATTGAAGTACATATTTATTAGCCATTGTAAAAATCGAGTTGAGTACCTAATTTTTCTAAGTTAATCAAAATTGTACTTCTATCTATCTATCTATCTATTTTTCTTTTCAGCCTTTTTAACGTCCCACTGTTGGGCACGTGCTTTCCTTCAATATGATGGGAGTCAAACCATAGTCCACCACGCTGGCCAAGTGCGGGTTGGCGGACTTCACATATCTTTCTAAAAGTTGTTAGGTTCTTTTAGACATGCAGGTTTCTTCATGATGTTTTCCTTCACCGTAAGACAAACGGTAATCATGTTAGAAACGATTCGCACATAAAAATACCAGAGGTGCGAGACCCGGGATTTGAATCCGCTTCACTCGATTTCCCAAGCGAGTGCGTTACCACTGGGCTAATTGTGCCTAAAGTGTACTTACGCATACATATTTGCATTCAGCACGACATAATAACAATTACTCAAAACATAAAACAACAAAAGACCATTTCGGTACCAAAACAAGCAATATTGCTGACCGATTGTCTCGTCCGATATTGCACTCGCCTCAATAGTGCATTGTGTCGGTGTCAATTATCCAACGAGTGCGAACGAAAAATAGACAAAGGCGAATTTCGCAGTTACAATTTTCGCGCTACAAACATCGGGCGAATGATTGAATTTCGCTTCGGTGAAAATACTCGATCTCTATCATTTTTGAAGGCAACCATTTTGGGGTGTGGCTTTTTATTGAATTTTTCTCGTCTTGATGACTTTATAAGTTTAGTTACGTACTTAAATAAATAATATATACCCGTTCATATATTTTTGAACTACTACTGATAAAATTATATAAAAATCTGTCAAATGTTGTTTGACTTATTTTTTAAATATCTAAGCAAATTTTAAAAGAACTTTAATGAGTAGAAAAACTTTGCAAAAATGGCTTTTTATGGAAAAAGTAAAAGGTTTCTTGTATGTAAATTATGCGAGTATAATTTTTCGTGCCAACCAAAAACATTCTCTCTACTTTTTAAATGATATTACATCTAGTCTCATTCTTTTGCTACTGTTTGCTAGTTTTTAGCCCAAAGAATTAGCGTTGCGATACAGTGCGGGAATATACTTACAATTTTTGTTACAATTAGTAAATATTTATTTTGTTGCATTGACTTAGGCAGACAGTGGTAGCCCAGTAGTAATATGTTTGCTTAAGAAACCGAGTAGAGCGGGTTAAAATCCCGGGTCTCGCGCCTCTGATATTTTCATGTGCGAATCATTTTCAACATGATTACCACGTGTCTTAACGGTGAAGGAAAATATCGTGAGGAAACGTGCATGTATGAGAGAACCTAGCAAGTATTTAAGAGACATGTGTAGTCCGCCAACCCTCACTTGCTTAGCGTGGTGGACTATGGCCTGATCCCACCTCGTATTGAAGGGAGGCTTGTGCCCAGCTGTAGGACGTTAAAAAGGGCTGTACATACGTAATACAGTATTAACTTAGTTTTATTAAATTTATCTTGTTAAAAAAAAACTGCAACAACAAAAACACTTAGTGAGAAATATAAGCAAAATCAATCAATCAATATATAAGCAAGGCTGAGTGTGAAATCTTGTACAAGGATAAAAAACAAATTGAAATAATTAAATTGTCTAATGAATATTTGAGGACGTGAAATTTAAATACTTCTAAGAATTAATTAGAACCAATTAAGTAAATAGCAATTCTTTTCGATTTGCTTTAGGCTTTATTAATTGTACGTAAATAAGAAATGAGTTTTCATCGTTGTTATGTTTTTATTTAATTACTGAATGTAACCTGCCTTATTTCTTAGCACGTCCTAATTTATGTTTTTAACAAAACCCAACTTGTTCTACAATGAAATTAAATTACAAGACCAAGATAAAATCAAATGTATGAAATTTTATTTATTTATATCTAGTTAGAACGGCGGTGTCACTTATATTAACTCGATGGTTACATTATAAATTATTAGAAACATAATAGAAAAGATAAAAAGTAATAAATAAAGAATACAAACAAAAGCAAATACTACTTGGGTTCTAAGAATATTAATAACAGGGTTATTCAATATTCTCAGCGTACCTTAGTAATTCAAGAACTTTATATAGTACTAAAAAAACCCGCGGCTTTGGCACTAAAACTACAAAAAAAAACTCTAAAAAGGTAGATTTCACACAAACTTTAATCCCCTATTTCGCCCCCTTATGGGATGAATTTCGAAAAATATTATAACACGTATTTATTTAATTGTATTTGAGAGCGCTAATATCAAGTTTCAAATAATGCTGATCATAATTTTTTTTGGTTGTATTATGACCTATTATCCCGAAGGAATGAAATAATCCCGTGGTATAAAGTAGCCAATGTCTCTCTGCAGCCCTCGAACTATTTCCATACAAAAAATTACGTCAAACAGTTACTCTGTTTCGACTAGAAAGAAGGACAAACAAACACACACTCTCACATTTATAATATTAAATATGGATTATGCAACCGGAAGTATATGTACATACAATGTACATGTAGCAAAACTAGCAGCAAGAATAAAATAAAAAAAGCCACCTGCGACCCCTTCGTTCCATCTTAAGATCAACTCGA